GTGTGTGTGTGTGTGTGTGTGTGTGTGTGTGTGTTCAGTGGATCTACACCTCCAAAAACAAGCTGAGCTTCAGAAAGAGAAGGAGGAGCTGAACCAAGCCATGGAGGAGGAGAAGCTGAAGGTCCAGGAGGAGAGGAGAAGGTTTGCAGGACCATTTGTGTTGTTGTTGTTGTTGTTGTTGTTGTTGTTGTTGTTGTTGTTGTTGTTTCGGTCCTCTCTGACCCCTCCCCTCTCTGAGCAGCAGGAGGCAGGCAGCAGCAGAGTACCAGGCAGACCTGCAGGCTCAGATGCAGCAGCAGCAGCAGATCCGCAGCCAGCAGACGGTTCAGACGCTCAGAGAGGACCAGCACGGTCTGATCCGGGAACAACTCTACAGACACAGAAGAGACCAGATCCTGAACCGACCCGAGCCCAGCACCACCATCCATCCTTTCAGGAGAACTGTCAGGTCTGCAGACTGAGGAGCCCCCCAAACAACACAAGTACACCTGGAACTGCTCCAAACTGAGTCCTGCTGAGTCTGGATCTGCAGCCTTTCTGGGTCAGCAACCAGAACCAAAGCAGAGTTTTACTGTTACAATGTGTGATAAAACCTGATTACATCTGTAAAACTTCACTTCTTTCATCTGAACAAAGGAATCAGTTTGTTTCAGGTTCTGTTCAGACTTTAAAACAAGAAATAAAGATTCAGCATTCAGACCCAAACTGACCCGTTTACAGCTGAAAACCATCTGTCCTTCTGTTACTTTAGGTTTTCTAAATCAGGATTGTCCTGTCCTGCAGACCATCAGGGTTCTGGAGCAGAGGAACCTGTAAAACCTGCAGGACGGTGTCTCATGACCACATGGTGCCTCTTGCCCAAAGCTAATCCAATCTGATTTAGGAAAATAAAGTGGATAAAACCTTGAAGACGTGTTTTTAAAAGCAGAACTGAACTGTGAAATGTGATTAGATCACAACAACCCTGAGCTGGTCTGACTCTGATCAAAGCCTCAGCACTGTGGGGCACTGCTTTGAAGGATTAATAAAAAAAATTTTGATGAAAATCTGGATAATTTTGATCCCAGCACTTTGGTGGCTTCAGTGTGCACTTTCAGATTTAAATGAAACTTATCAATCTTCATGTAGTAGATTTACAGTTATTAATTTCTTTATTTTAGCCAGTTTTCACAGCATACAGGTGAAATGATGACTTTACACTACAGACCTTTAAGGAGGAAATACAATAACCCTCTTCATAGCTGTCACAGTTCAAACACAAAGTGTATGTTTTATTAGAAACTACATATTTACAGTCTAAAGATGAATAGAGGAGCAGAGGAACAACCAAACTGCAACAAACCTCCTAAAAGCACAGCTTCAAACTCTTGCTCATTCCACAGGAGAATAGGCTGAATGTGTTTTTAAACTTTCTATTTTAAAATGAACTTTTACATTTAAAAGACAGGAATGTGTTTAGCTTTTTAATTATTGTGCAGTACATATGTTATGACTGGTCAAAATATAATGAAAATGTTTCTTCAGTTTTTGTTTCTTTAAATAAATCTAGTTTGAGTGACACCATGCTGTCTATTCTCCCTGTGCTTTCTGTAGAAGCTTTCAGTGTCGCTGCATTTAAACCTCTTATAATCACTTATATTATCTCTTCTATTATCACTTCTATTATCACTTATATTATCACTTATCTCTTCTATTATCACTTATATTATCACTTCTATTATCACTTATATTATCTCTTCTATTATCACTTATATTATCACTTATATGTATTATCACTTATATGTATTATCACTTATATGTATTATCACTTATATGTATTATCACTTATA